TTTTGATTTTGGATCAAAAAATTTATCGCTTTTGAATTTTGACACAATAACACAAATGCATTTAATATTTCTCACATCAATATTACAATACTAACAATGAAGGTGAAGATGATGAAATAATTCAAAAGGAGTCTGAACCTGATTCATCTAATAAAAAATATAAAAGGTAATTAATTCATTGCAACTTGCAACTATTTTATTACATGAAAATATTAATATTAACAATATTATATTTCACTTTAGACCTAAAATTGACACCTCTATAGTTCGTCGTAGTAGTAGAATTAGAAAAAATATAAAAAAATAAATTATTGTGTATAAATTATTATCATCTTTATTTTTTATTTTATTTATTTCATTTATTTTATTTATTTCATTTCATTTATTTTATGTATATTAATATATCAAAAAAATAAAAATGCCATCAAAAATTTTTTTTTGCAGATCCCTGTCCCCTGTCCTTTTCCAGATTTGATAGGTGAATATTGAAAAGCACAGGTACATGTCACCTGTTCCTTGTTTGCGCCACGCCTGTCCCCTGTGCTTTTCAAGACTTTTCGCATATCGCCTGTGCCACTCGCCTGTCCTTTTCTAGATTTGATGGTGAAATCTTGAAAAGCACAGGGGACAGGCGAATTTTGCAGATCCCTGTACCCTGTGCTTTTCTAGTATCCCGTATGGAACCAATACGGAAATTTACTAATTGAAATTCATTAAAAAATCTATTTATAACTGTACTTTAGTTACTGAATCCATACTGAAATTACATATTCAAAATGTATTTTAATTACTGAAAAGGTGCTGAATCCATACTGAATTTACATATTTAAACATATTTTAATTACTGGAAAGGTGCTGAATCCATACTGAATTTACATATTCAAAATGTATTTTAATTACTGGAAAGGTGCTGAATCCATACTGAATTACATATTCAAAATGTATTTTAATTACCGAAAAGGTGCTGAATTTACATATTCAAAACGTATTTTAATTACTGAAAAGGTGCTGAATACATACTGAATTTACATATTCAAAACATATTTTAATTATTGAAAAGGTGCTGAATCCATACTGAATTTACATATTTAAAACATATTTTAATTACTGAAAAGGTGCTGAATCAATACTGAATTTATGTATTCAAAATGTATTTTAATTACTGAAAAAGTGCTGAATCCATACTGAAATTACATATTTAAAATGTAATTTAATTACTGAAATTAGCATATTTAAAATGTATTTTAATCACTGAAAAGTGTGCTGAGAATCATATAATTAATTACATATTCAAAAGATTTTATTTTTATTCAACATTGATATAATTATTATTTAAATGAAAAAAAATTATATTAAAAATTATACATATTTAAAAGTTGTAAAAAAATCACATTAATTTTTTTTTGATTTTCTTGTGCTTTCCTTTCCTTTGCCTTTTTTGACTTGACCTGTTAATTTTAAAAAAAAAATACCATGTAAATTTAATAATAAAATTAGAAGCACAATTGAAACTTATTATCTTCTATTAAAATATAAATTATATAAGCAAACATTGTTTTACTTCTTTTGCCAACATCTTCACCATCTTCTTTAGTACTTTTTTTTTTCTTTTTCCCATTTTTGATTTGATCTGTTAATTTGAAACAAAAAAAGATACCATGTAAATTTAATAATATAATTAAAATTCTATTAAAATATAAATTATATAACTAAGCAAATAAAAATAAACACTATTTTTATTACTTCTAGCAACATCATTTTGATCATTGCCATCATCATCAATATTAACATCATCTTGATCTTGGTCATCATCAACATCATCTTGATCTTGATCATCATCAACATAACAAATACTTGCTAATGAAGAAAATATAATAAATAATATTCTTATGTTAATTTGTTTGTTCTAATGAATATAATTAATGTAAATAATAAATAAAATGAATCAACAAATCTTGGTGTAATCAAATTCACATTACCACAAAAATTTAAATTTTTGCACAACTCAATTTTTGTGTCCTTAAATTTGTTGACTATAATACCTTTATTATTATAATTATTTACAAATAAATAAAAATAAATAAATACATTACCCATATTATTATCATTGATATTTCCATCATCATCATAATCATCATCAACAATATTATCATCTAGCAGTATAAATTAATATTAATTAATGTCAAATTAAAAATAATTATTATATTCATTATGAGCATTCAATTATATCTTACCTTTGTTTTTATTACTGCTATTACTACTAGTATGATTGCTATCACTACCACCACTAGTATTACTATCACTACTACCACTACCACTTGTCTTGTTAGGTTTTTTTCATTTTTGATAATCCCCTTAATTTGTAAAAAAAATTATTAGGGTGGGAAAGTTAAAATAATAAAAATATATTTAATTGCTTACTCTGATGCTGAATGTTTTTTTTATTAACTCTTTCAATAGCCAATTATTGCATCTACTTTAGCACCAGGTTTCCGACCATTGAACTAGAGATAATAATAAGATTAAAAAAATCATGTAACATAAATAATAAATAATAGTAAAAAATATATATACTCTATTAATAATTCTTCCAATTAATACAGGATTTTGATTTTTAAATGGCACATTAATTGGTGTGTTATAATATTTCATAATATCCTTAATCTCTATCTGTATAATCAACACATCAAATTAATTAATAATATTAAATAAATAGATTATATTTAACATATAATTACCAGATATATTTTGTAATCTCCTTTCATAATTTCTAAATTTTTACAAATGTCAGCTACTTTTTATAATTGAGATTGGCAGGTCTATAATTTTTAATCCAAAACTGTTCATTATTTTTCAATTTCTTTAAACAATAAAAAATAAAATTATTTTAAATGTTTTCAATAACAGTCATCCGTGATGTCACAATGAGTGATTTTGTTATAGTGATCGACATAGCACTTTTCCGTACAACAGACTTTAAAACCAAAAATGAACGAAAAAGCATGATCATGTTTCTATGTAAACATATTTTCATAGTTTTGTTCTATCAATTAAATAAATAAATAATATAATAATAATTAATGTAATCACATTATTCCCATTCATTCTAAAATGAAAATGTTGGAAAAAAAAATGAAGTCCCCAACAAAAAAAATTTTATTTGATAAAAAAACATGTTTTTTAGATGTTACATCAGATCGGTCATTTTTCACCAGATTATCCAAATCCTTTACATTTATCATCTTCCCTTGATCATCATTATATTACCGCCAATATTACTTAGGAAGGAAGGAACTTTTATTATTGTCGTTAATCGGTTTTCAAAAAAACTTTCGATGATCTTTTCCATTCTTTTTGTTTTCAATCGCATGGCACACTGTAAAATACAAATTTGGAAACTTGACGATCTGAGACGATTATTTTTTTTTTTTTTTAAAAAAAAAGAGTTATCTTATCCATTGAAGAGAAACTTAAAATTGTAACAAAGTTTTTGCTTGACAGTCCTCCCGGAGAAGTTGATGATAAAAATATTTGTGTGTGTTTTACATTGTTTTTTGTATTCAAGTTAAATGTTTAGTTATAGATATTAATTTTTCATTAGATGTTCTAATTTTAATGAAAAATGGAATTGGGAACGCATTAGAACAATACAATACAGAACAATTAGTAATAGTTACTCTTCTAGATCAGGAAACATCGGTATTTTCATTTGCACATTTTTACATTGCAAAAAAATAATCATGTGAGAAATATTAAATGCATTTGTGTTATTGTGTCAAAATTCAAAAGCGATAAATTTTTTGATCCAAAATCAAAA